TCATGCCAGACTACTTTGTCCTAACTTTCCAGTATCCCTTGTCAATCTTTTGGGGTGATTTTCTCCCCCTCCCCAGCCTCTAAACAATAAAATGTTCTGTTCTATTGACTCTTTTTCCACATCACTCTCCTTAAGTGATCTCACCCAGTCTTGGGGAGGATGCATCTACATACTGATGATGTCTATATTTATGTCTCCAGCTTAGAATTTGCTCTGAATTTTAATTCCTAGTACCTAATTCCACAGACTTTACCTCAAACCTGACTTGGCCGAACTGGGTTATTTTTGTTCCTCCTAAAGCACGTTGTTCTACTGTCTCTCCCACCTCAATTCTTGTCTTTTCCTTTCTTTGAATTATAAAGGACTATTCACATATTATTCATTCTCTTTTTCTCATTTTCTTTTCCGATTCATCAGCAAATTGTAATGGCCGTACTACTGAAATGTCACTTTCACTCTTAGCATCTTTGTATGAATTTCTCAAGCAGCCTTCACAGTGATGCCCTTTCATCGACCCTGGCCTCCTTGAAATCCAATTTCCACACATTGACAGGTATGACCTGCTTCAACTGAGATCACTTCTATCCTCTGCCCTAAATTTTCTAATGGCCTGAACTCTGGGCCTGGGTGCTGTCCCTCAGCTCTTCAGCTCAAGGCTAGCGCTCTACCACTTGAGCCACAGTACCACTTCTGGCTTTTTTCTTGTTTATGTGGTGCTGAGGAATCAAACCCAGGGCCTCAGGCATGCAAGGCAAGTGCTCTACCACTGAGCCACCTTCCCAGCCCCATATCTTGCTTTTTCAATGACTACAAAGTCTTGTGAGATATAGTTCTTGTTGTTAATGCTCTCATTCTACTTCACTTCCTCTCCTTTTCCTGCTCCTGGGTCATAGGCCCAGATGCTGTTCCTAAACATACTTCTGCTGCAACATCTGTGTTTCCTTTACCAGATGTGAGTATACAATGCCCTCCTGTGTTAAGATAGATGAGTCCCCTATTTCTTTCAGCTTTGTGCCAGGAACCTAGTCTTTTTTATTTTTTTTGCTTTATTTTTCAGATAGAGTCTCTTTATTGCCTGGAACTAGCCTTGAACTGTGAACCTTGTACCTAAGCCCTTCTGGGCTGGGATGTAGCTCAGTGGCAAAGCACTTGTCTAGCAAGTACAATGTCCTAGGTTCAATTCCCTAGAACCAAAAAAGAGAGAAAAGACTGAGGGGAAAAAAAGTTCTTAAGAAAGAAAGAAAGCTAGACTGGGATGTAGCTCAATGGCTAAAAGCTTGCCTAGCAATTGCAAGGTCCTGGGTTCAATCCCCAGTACTGACATACATAAACATCTGTTGTCTACCTATAGCCTTCCATGTAGCTGTCACTACAGATGCATGCTACCAAATCCAATTTACTGAGATGGAGTCTTTCTTTTTGCTTGGGCTGGCCCTGAACTATGATCATCCTGATCTCCACCTCCTTAGTAGCTGGGATTATAGATATTAGCCACAACATTCAGCCTTAGTAGTTTTAAACAACAGAACATGTTTCATTTGATTTTCCTACTAGATGTGTGATCAGTGAAACCAGGGAAATTTTGTCCACCTAACTGTTAAATTCCCAGACACAAGAACAGAGGTAGCACACGGCAGGCACTCGGTAAACAATGACATAATTAACTGATTAATTAAGCGGTAGGCATATAGTTGGAGTAAGAATCAGTAAATAAAGATGCCTGAAGATTAAAAAATGCTGAAACTGTGTGGCTTAGGTGGTAAAACATTTGCGGAGCCCTGAGTTCAAACTCCAGTACCACCAAAACAAAATTTTGATGAGAGCATTCCCTCTCTTGCTTCTCAAGTATAATATACAGTCGTGTTAGATACCACAAATGGTATAAGGACACAAATGGTTTTATTTCCACAAACCACTTTTCTAGTTCGGAAATATATATATAGACACACATACTTATATATATGTACACATTATATGTGTGTATATATATGTGTGTGTGTATATATATATATATATATATTCTCCAACAGTGAGCACCCCTAACCTTAATTCAGACACTAAAGCAGGGCGTGCCGGGGCTCAGGGTGCACGCGCCAGGTCGAGGCTAACCAAACCACAACCCCCCCCTCAGAAAGAAAGAGGCGCGGCGTCGGTGTGGCGGGGCCGGGCGCCGCCCCTTCGCCCCACCAGGCCCGGCGGGAGGCGGGAG